CTGTTTCTGTCTCTGTGTCTGAGTCTGACTGTCCAGGGACCTCGGGGCAGTGGAGCCACCGTGTCTGCCTTTCGTGCTGCCTCTCCCCGAGCTCGGTGCCCTCGGGCCCTCCATGCCGCAGCACGTGGGCCGGTCCCGTCATGGCGGTACCTCATCCCTCGGAGCCTCCCAGGCCTCAGACCCGGAGGTGAGCCTCGCGCTGCTGCTTCACTCCCTGAGCGATGCTCACAGCACCACCGCGCCCGCCCTGCTCTCGGCAGAGGATGAGACAGACGCCGCCTCCTGGGCCACCCTGCCGTCTCGTGCCCCTGCCCGCCTAGTGGGGCAGCCTTGCTGGGCAGTGTCCTGGCTCAGAAGTTCTGCTCACCCCCCTGTCTTCCAGGAAAGTCATTTCTTCCCTTTCGTGCCACGGGACATGACGGATCCACGTTCCGAAATGCTCCGGCTGCTCCCGGCCGCGCCTGTGAGCGCTGGCGACGGGCCTGCACTTGTACGTCCTCAGGGTCTCCACTCTGTCCCGGGTGGAAAAGCCCCCTCAGAGCTGAGGGAGGAGGGGCCGCTGGAGGGCAAGGTCGTCTGTCCAGGGTGGTTTCCATCCAGGTGTTTGGGGTTATAAGCTCCCCTGGGTCCCCCTCCAACCCCCCCCAGCACACACCCCCAAAGACCAGGTTCCCATCAAAGCACTCAGGTTGGCGCGGGCGGCAGGTGGCAGGACTAACAAGGGCAGAGCCCAGGCGGGGAGGCCTCAGGTGCTGGTCTGTTCCTTTATCGCTGCCTCTCCCCTGCGCCGAGCGCCCACCAGCCACACTGGGCAGATGGGCAAACTGCTGGCGCTGGCTGTGAAAGGCCAGTCCATCTGCCAGGAAATCCCGTCCTGAGAGCAGCCGCCCTGCCCGTCCTGGGTGCTGGCGGGGCCCGGCAGGACGCCTCGCTGTGGCCGGGGCCTTGCTTCCCGTGAGAGCGGGGCCCCCGTCCACATAGGTCCTGCTCCTCTGGGTGCAAATGAGATAGGATCTGCCCTGGCCAGTGTGGCTCAGTGGATAGACTGTCGGCCTGCGGACTGAAGGGTCCTGGGTTCCATTCTGGCCAAGGGCATGTGCTGGGTTGTGGCTCAATGCCCAGTGTGGGCCGTGAGGGAGGAGCCGATCAATGGTTCTCTCTCTTCACTGACGTTTCTCTCCCTCTCCCTTCCGCTCTGAAATCATACAAAAAACATATTTTTAAAAAGATGGGCTCTGACCAGCTGGTGGTGGAGACGCAGGGCTCAGGGGCCACCGGGGGCCAGAGCTGCCCAGCCCAGAGGACGTGGCCTCCGACTGTGGGCAGAGCCGAGTCTGTCTGTACCCCAGCCTCTCCCTGCCCGGGCGCCTCAGCTGCCTGGCCCCGGGGCCTCGCAGGAATAAGCGTGTGAGTGAGCGCAGTTGTGGCTCCGGGACCCTTGACCAGGTCGCAACAGGGAGAAGTTGTCCGTCTGCCCAGCACGTGGCGAGTGGCCGCCCAGTGACCTCAGGGTGTGGGATAGCTCCATCCCGGCACGAGCTCCTGCTAGACCCGCTGGCCTGCAGGTGCCATAGGGGGTCTGCTTCTGTGGTCCAGGGCGAGAGCCCCGAAGGTGTGAGCGTGGGCGGGCAGGTCCCCCTGAAGGTGTGAGTGTGGGCTGGGCGGGTTCCCCTGAAGGTGTGAGCGTGGGCTGGGGGGGTCCCCCCAATGTGTGAGCGTGGGCTGGGCGGGTGCGGGTGGGGACCCAGGACAGGGCAGCCAGTCCAGGAGGGGATTTGCGGCGGGTTCCCCTGAAGGTGTGAGCGTGGGCTGGGGGGTCCCCCCAATGTGTGAGCATGGGCTGGGCGGGTGCGGGTGGGGACCCAGGACGGGGCAGCCAGTCCAGGAGGGGATTTGCGGGGCTATGTCCCTGCGAGGCAATGTAAACTCTCTCTTAGACCTTTTTTAAATACATTTTTATTGATTTCAGAGAGAAAGGGAAAGGGAGAGAGAGAAAATCATTGATCGGCTGACTCCCGAGTGACTCTCCCTCTCCCTTCTTCTCTGAAATCAATAAAAATGTATTAACAAAAATAATCGGACTTTGCAGATGCCATTACTCAGGGAATCAGGATGAGAGCAGCCTGGATTCAGGGTGGATCCAGAGACCCTGGGAGGGAGGCCCCGGGAAGGGGGGACCGAGACTGGAGTCACACATCTCCAGGCCCAGGACTCACCTGGTGGAGCCCCCGGAGGCAGGAGAGGCCCGGCCTCGGTCTCAGACTCGCCTCCAGCCTGTCTGAGAATAGCGTCTGTGAGCCCGTGGTGCTGGCCCAGGAGTCACCTCGGAGCTGTGAGCAAGGAGGAGGAACGGAGGGCACTTGGGGATTGGGTCGGTCGATGAGCGGTCCTGGAAAAGAACAGGATTTGTGTCTGATGGGTCAGCAGCTTCTGGAATGAATCAATCGATGGAAATTTCCAGAAGCCCTGCTAAAAGCCTCTGCCTGAACCTACTCCCCAGGGCCGAGAGCATGGGCAAAGCTTCCGTCTCATTTACTGCAGTGAAGTGGGCACTGGGTGGGGTCCAATGGCCACATCAGAGCCGAGGCCTAGCGGCCCGTTCCCCTCTCATAGCCTCAGTTTCTCCGTCTGTAAAATGGGCGGGGCAGGGATATGGGTGTGAGGTGCTTTGTGTCAACGCCAGGGACCAGGGTGGCTCATGGTCACCGAGTTGAGTTTCTATGCAGACGGGTTTCCAGGTGCTGACAACGGGTAGGGGCTGAGGGCGCACGAGGCTCAGCTGGACCCGCCCAGCCAAGTCCAGGTGAGGGGCTGACCTGGGCATCCTGAGGCTGGGCTTTTCCCGTTCTAGCCCTCTGCGATGGCACATGCATCTGTGTGCTTCCCTGGTCAGGCCTGCCTCCTCCTCCTGCCTCCTCCTCCAGGCTGCCCTCCAGAGCTGAGCAGAGCCTGGCACAGTTGGCAGCTCATTCAGGGCACTGAACACCTGCAGGGCTGAGAGCCTTCCTGTGGGCGGGCGGCCAGCTCTGCCTGCTCCAGGGTCTCCTCAGGCCTGGCCTCCCCCCTGCACAGGTGGTGGGCGGGGCAGAAGCTGCTCCTGTGGCTGGAGCCTGCTGCCCCTGGGAGGAACTTCTGAGTCCACCTTTAGTTTTATATATATATATAATTGATTTCAGAGAGGAAGGGAGAAGGAGAGAGAGAGAGAAACATTAATGATGAGAGAGAATCATTGATCAACTGCCTCCTGCACGTCCCCTACTGGGGATGGAGCCTGCAACTCGAACATGTGCCCCAACCGGGAATTGAACCCTGACCTCCTGGTTCATAGGTCGATGCTCAACCACTGAGCCACGCCAGCTGGGCTGAGTCCACCATTAGCCTGCCTCCCACCCACAGCTCACCTGGGCATTTCTGGGGGGTGTGGTCCAGGCTGGACCAGCACAGAGGCCTGGCAGGAGGAGAGACGTGACCCTCTTCTCCCAAACATGACTGTGAATCCACATCGTACAGGGACAAGAAATCCGCTGGAGAACAAGCTGGCGTGGCCACCGTCCACAGATGCAGGGCATAGGTAGCAGGTGTCTGCCCGGAGGAAGGAGGGAAGCCAGCTCCGAGGGCGGGCGGGTCGTGGGGCCAAGGGCGGGTTAACGAGCCTGGTTGGGTGAGCCAAACCAGCACTGGTGTGAGGTAACTCTCCCACCCCCACCCAGGGGGCAGCCCCAGGGAGCAGGCGACACCAGGACTCGTCGGCACTGATGACAGCCAGCACCTGGGTGTTGACTGTTTACTCCGTGCTTGGTCCGTCTGTCCATCTGTCTGTCCGTCCATCTGTCCATCCTTCCATCCGTCCACCTGTCTGTCTGTCCCCGCTGATTGAGAAGCACTCTGTTCAAGAACCTGAGCGAGGTGTGGGGTCTATGGAGGGGGACGGGCAAGAGATACCACAGGAATGAAGGTGGGGTCTGTGCCCAGAAGCCTCACAATGATGAGAGGAGGCCTCGCTCGGTGGAGGGAGCCCCGGGAGTGTGGTCTGGCACCCCGTTCACCGAGGGGGCGCAGCTGTGGCTGGGGGCGGCCTGCGCCGACTCAGCAGACCTGCACCTGCGTGGCTATTTTTGTATAAAAGCTGGAAAAAGCTCTCCATCTGCTGGTCTGCGGTGGCCAGGTCTGTGTCCTTGAACAAGTCCACGCCCTTCCGGATGGCAGCCGTCCCAGGTGAAAGGGGTGGAGGGGGGGTGGCCACAGCTCCTCCAGGGGTGTCAGTCACGCAGGTGGGAGCATTTTCCGGAGCTCATCGGCGATAGCCTGACGATGTGTCCGTTACACGGTGTGTGAATTTTCCCTAAAAAACAAACAAATACCCAACTCTGTTAATGATACGCATGCTAAGGTGTCCTGGGGTGAAGAGTACTGAAGTGTGCAACTTGCTCTGAGATGCGCTAAAAAAAAAAAGAGATGGATTCGTGGACGGAGGGTGGAGGGTGGATCACCTGAGACAGGTAATAAAGCAACAGGCGTGTGGTCACCGTGGAACCTCAGGGTGGGTGCGTGGGGGTTCACGTACACTTTTCTGCATGTTTGAATATTTTCATAAAAACTTGAGGGGACATCCCCAGTGCAGAATGTCAGTTTCCCACAACACGTCCCGCACCCCAGGCCCCAGACCCATTGCCTGTCGCCATCACAGTGTGTATCAACCAGTGACTGCATCTCTTTTTAAAAAAATATTTTTTTATTGATCTCAAGGGAGGAAGGGAGAGGGAGAGAGAGAGAGAAACATCAGTGAGGAGAGAGTCACTGATCAGCCGCCTCCCACATGCCCCCCACTGGGGACCGAGCCCGCAACCTGGGCATGTGCCCTGACCAGGAATCAGACCGTGACCTCCTGGTCCATAGGTCAGTGCTCTAACACTGAGCCTCGCCGGCTGGGCCCGTGACATCATTTCAATAAGTTTCCCTCACTTGGACCCCCTCCCAGCCCCTGGCTGGCCGTGTAGATAACCAGAGAACCCTTGGGGAGTCCAGCACGTTTCCTAAGATATCCCACGAGTCCCTGAGAGGACGTGACCATCTCTCCATAGTAAGGACTCCCTTGCCCTCCCTGCCCAAACTCCGGCATCAGTCTTCATCGGGGGGCATCCCGGGGCCACTGATGGCTCTGGGATGGCGTCCCTCCCAGCCCGGTGCCCTCAGGGACACTGGAAGGCGGCCCAGGGGGCGGATGGCTGGGCCTCCCCAGTAGGGAGCTGTCCTTCCTATGTGACAGCTCAGGGTCCCCCAAAGCACAGATGTGAAAGCTTCCCGGCCTCCTTAGGCCTGGGACTGGGGCTGCGCACCCCACGCCAGCTGTGCGCAGGGATCAGGCTGGCCCGGCGGGCCTGGTCAGTAAGGCTGGGACCCTTCACCGGGCAGGACCCAACCTCTCTCTGCAACCGGAAATGTGAGAGACGGGGAGTGGGTGGGCTTCCCCCTGGAATCCCCACTCCCTCACACAAAGGGCTGCTGTGTCTCCCCTGCCTGAGGGAGCGGTCAGTGGGCTGAACTCCGGCGGCCGGAGCTCTTTAAAGGAAAAACACCCCGGCCCTGGCTACCGGGAATCAGGAGGCAAGCGCGCCCCGGCTGGCGGCTCAGTTGTCTGGACCGTCGTCCAGTACACGGAAGGTTGTGGGTTTGATTCGGCACCTACCTAGGTTGCTGGTTGGGGTGCGTGTGGGAGGCAACCAATAGATGTTTCTCTCTGACATAGATGTTCCTCTTTCTTTCTCTCTAAAAAGGCAATAAGCCCTGGCTGGTTTGGCTGAGTGGATAGGGCGTCGGCCTGCACACTGTAGGGTTCCCGGTTGCATTCCGGTCAAGGGCACATGCCTGGGTTGCGGGCTCGATCCCCAGTGTGGGGCCTGCAGGAGGCAGCCGATCCATGATTCTCTCTCATCATGATGTTTCTCTCTCCCTCTCCCTTCCTCGCTGAAATCAATACAAATAGACTTAAAAACAAATAAATAAAAAGCAATAAAAAATGAAACAGAAAACACCTTGGACACCTGATAGACACCGTTTCCAGAGCTGAAGCCAGAGACCCACGGGGCGTGACTATGGCGCGGAGCAAAGCGGAGGGAGCCCAGGTTGGCCCTGACCCTGGTGCTGATTCCATGGCCGCCAGGCCGCCTCTGGGCTCAGGCTCAGCAGCTTCTGCGCAGGCCCTTCGGTGCCTGTGATGGGGCGGGGCCGGGCGGGGAGGGGCGCGCCTGCTGCCACCGGAGCCCTGGCTTCTCTCCTCTCTTCCCCCCTCCCCTCCCTCCCTCCCTCTCAGGCGCTTTACTGGGGTGGGGGCTGCCCACTGGCCTGCAGGCCCCTCAGGATGCAGGGGAGTCCCAGCCCCCGTGCCTCCCAGAGCTGCCCCTGGGCACAGCATGGACACTCACGGTAAACGGGACTCCCTTCTCCACTGAGACAAAGGGAAGTGTGGTCTGTGCGTGTTGGACGCTGTGCTTCCTTCCCTGCAGCCCCGGCACTTGGGCCTCCATCTGCGGGCCCTCCCTGCCGGCCGTGTGAGTGGACACGCTGGGGTGAAACCAGTCCTGTCCTGTGTGCTGGGCTCCTCCGGATGCCAGGGCCCGGGGAGCAGCAGGAGGCAGGAGGGCGGTGTTTTCACTCCGCCTGGAGCAGGGCCCCCAGCCTCGGCTTTGTCCTCTGTCGCGGCTCCATTGGCCACCGGCGCTGCTCCGAGTCTGCTCCAGCCCCGCCCCCAGGTCTGGGGCTGCCCGCTGAGCTCTCCCAGCTTCGGCTGGAACCCGGGTCAGAAGAGATGAGGGCCTCAGCAGTGGGGAAGCCCGAGGATGGAGACAGCAGGCCGGGCGGGGACCACTCCCACCAGGCCTTCCCGGGACGGAGGGGCACTCACCCAGGAGCCAGGAAGCCCGCGGCCACTCCCGGGTTGGAGGAACCCACGGGCCAGCTGCAGGGGGTGGGGTGCAGGGCAGGCCCTGACCCAGGTTCGGAGCTGCCCTGTGGCAGCAGGGACAGGGCCCCGGCTCACCCACAGGGCTGTGGGCCACCGGCGTGCTTGGAGGACTTGCAGCCGCATTGCTCCTGGGCCCTGGTCCTCCAGGTTTATGCGGAGGAAATGGGTTCCGCCCGAGCGGCCCTGCTGAGGCCTGCCCACCGCGAAGGCACCAGCCCTCAGCTCTGCTCCTGTCTGCAAAGGGGCAGGGCGCTGCCATTCCTCCAGCCGAGCCGGCTCCTCCAGGAAGCAGACTGGCAGGGCCCCGCTGCAGCGTCCGCGACAGGGGCTGGCGAGCCTCTCAGAGCCGCTGAACAGGAGGGAGGACGGACGGACGTTCAGGGCAGCTCAGCCACAGGGCGCTCGCTGACTGGGAGACCCTGGGTGAGGGTGCTCCAGCCGCTGCCCTGAGGGGGGCCTTGCTGCCTTGCCAGTTCAGGAGGCTGGGGGTGAGGGGGTGAGGGGATGAGCTGGCCTTTCCCAGCACCCCGGCTCCTTCCTGCCCGAGGACTTCTGCCTGCGGGGCTCACCTTCAGCTTTGCTCCTTCCTAGTCTTTTTATATAATATATACGTTGATTTCAGAGAAGAAGGGAGAGCGAGAGAGAGATAGAAACATCAATGATGACAGAGAATCATGGATCAGCTGCCTCCTGCACTCCCCCTACCGGGGATGGAGTCCGCAACCAGGCATGTGTCCTTGACTGGAATCGAACTGGGGACCCTTTAGTCCGCAGGCCGACACTCTATCCACTGGGCCACACTGACTAGGGCTCCTTCCTAGTCTTTAGGTCTCCTCTGACTTGCCTGCCTTGTGGTGCACCCCTGCCCCTGGCCGCTGCCCATGGCATCATCCTGCCTCAGTCTCTGCGTGGCGCTGCGTGAGCAGGGACCCTGTTGTCCTGTTTGTCAACGCCTGTCGGCTTATTGTGGGGACCACTCCAGCTCCATGAACAGTTGGGAGAATAGAAGGACCAGGCACTAAGGTCTAAAGGGAGTGGTGGCAGGGGCTGGGGACGGGACGGCAGGGGCTGAGGCCACATGAAGGAGGTAAGGCTCTTGACCACACACGGGAAGGGGGCATCGTAGGTTTAGGTTTCTTGCTTGGGGACCGTGACTGAGCGGAGTCCCAGGAAGAGGAAGGCGGCCAGGGCGGCGGCACCTCCCCCGTCCAGCGCACCACGGTGGTCACAGCTGCCATGCCCAGCCCTGGGTGGCGGTGAGGGGCGGTGACATCCGAAGGGCAGTGTGGCTGAGTCACCACGGGCCTGTGGAGGGGCCGTCTGACTCCGAGCCATGCCTCTCCCTCCGCCCCGGAGTGCTGTGTCACCACAGAGAGCCTCCTGGCAGCAGCCCTTTGCATTTTTATTTTTTATTTATCTTATTGATTTTTTACAGAGAGGAAGGGAGAGGGATAGAGAGTTAGAAACATCGATCAGCTGCCTCCTGCACACCCCCTACTGGGGATGTGCCCCCAACCAAGGTACATGCCCTTGACCGGAATCAAACCTCAAGGAATCGAACCTGGGACCCTTCAGTCCGCAGGCCCGCGCTCTATCCACTGAGCCAAACCGGTCAGGGCGCCCTTTGCATTTTTAAAGGGAAGCAACGTAACTGGGCCTCCCGTGGAAGTCCAGCAGCGCGTGCTTCCTGGTGACTGCGGCCGGCCCGGGGATGGGCGGTACCTCTGCAGAGGCAGCCCGGTCCAAGCAAGCAGGGGTGGGGGGCTGGCCCGGACCCCTCAGGAGAATGATGCCCCTGGCCCTGCACTTGGGCCTCGGCGGCAGCTGGGGTGGGTGGGTGTCCACGCCAGTGGCCGACAAAGCAAGCTGCGCCTTAAGCAGGGGTGGGGGGCTGGCCCGGACCCCTCAGGAGAATGATGCCCCTGGCCCTGCACTTGGGCCTCGGCGGCAGCTGGGGTGGGTGGGTGTCCACGCCAGTGGCCGACAAAGCAAGCTGCGCCTTGCCCGCTGAATC